AGTATTCGTTAGTATGAACGTGAGTGAGTACTCATCAGTGTGAGTATCCGTGAGTATGAATGTGAGTGAGTATTCATCAGTGTGAGTAGGAATGAGTGAGAGCTTGTGAGTGTGAGTAGGAGTGAGTATGAACGTGAGTGAGTACTCTGAGTGTGAGAAGGAGAGAGTGTGAATGTGAGTGAGTACTCATGAGTGCGAGTAAGAGTTTGAACATGAGTGAGTACTGATGAGTGTGAGTATTCGTTAGTATGAATATGAGTGAGTATTCATGAGTGGGATTAGGAGTGAGTGAGAGCTCATGAATGTGAGTAGGAGTAAGTACGAACGTGGGTGAGTACTCATGAGTGTGAGTAGAATTGACTGCAAAGGTGAGTGAGTTGCTGTGAGTGTGAGTAGCAACGAGTAGGAAAATGAGTGAGTTACTATGAGTGTGATAAATATTTGTAACCATCGCAACGGCGTCCTCAATACGTTGGAAATAACGGGCACTATAGCATGCGAGCTTCCTGTACGTAAAAGCCTTCAGTTAGTTTGGAAACTGGAGGTGCCATCCTACATCAGATGGGGGGGGGGGGGGGGGGGCGAGGTGACCGCGCAAAACTCGAGTTGAAGGTAGCCGTTCATTTTATTGTAATTTGAATTTTCTAGGCTGAATAACCTATAGCTTCCATTCTTGCTGCACTTACCTCTTGCGCTTCAGTCTACGCAACGCGCTGATTATACATGTAAAACGAGGTCTTGAGAAGCCCTTTAACGAAAATCACCGTGCGAGTCGGTTCAGAAAAAAGAAATGCTCTGCGCAAGCGACAAAAAAAAAAAAAAAAAAAAAGCGCTGAAATGGCCCGTGAGAGAAAGCACATTGTGTGCGCTGCGCACATTGTGCGCAGCGATTTTGCAGTTTCTATCTCTGCGTTGTCCCTCAAGTGAAGGTTGCCTTGAACGAAAACCTTAAGTGATCTCATGACCTCTCAAGCGTGAAGTTGTGTGCAAACTTCGCCTTCTCAGTGCCCCATTAAGAAAAAAAAAAAGGAAAACTTGGAGGACGGTTGAGCTTCGCCGTCAACAGTATAGTATGCGATAGGGTAATCGGACCCTGTTCGCATTGCCGTTTCAATCTCTACCCTCGCTTCACTTTTCGCCGGTTTATTATGCCTTCAACAGTGCAGACACAATGTGCAATAAGCGCCCAATCACCCTTGATAATTTATTCTATCATTCACATAACGCGGGCTAGTACAAAAACACACATAACGCAACTCGTTAATTACCGTTTCATTCGGCTGTCCGCGATAACCCTGCGTACGCACACTTCCAATGAACCTTAACCGCATCCGCAGATCCATAAATAAGGCCCCCCTGCAATCGTCAGTGCGGGCACGGAGCCAACGAAGCCTCCGCGTGAGCGCGACCCACAGAGGAAGGAAAACATCTCCGAAGGTACGCACAATTTCTCGAATGCAAAACTGCCGTACGCGACGCATTCCATCCGAAGGCGAGGCAGAGAGGGGAGGCGCCGTCTCAACGGTCGCGCAGGGCCACAGAACACCTACCAGTGGCCGCGGCGCCGACGTGGCGGCGAAGCCCCGGCGTCCGCCTGTCCCGCTAGTGCAGTCAGAAGGGGCTAGGGGCAGTGGAACGAACGAAGCGGCCGAGCCGGATGGCATGGCAACGTCTTGGGTTCTGGCGGGTAATCATAGCGGCGGCGGTGTAGTGTACTGAAGCTGTCGAGATCGTCTATATTTCGCGCGCGTGCGTCGTAGCCTACGAAAGCTCATTTTGAGCGCTTGTAACGAATTACTGAGATTCTAAACGATGTCTCAGCGTCTCCTACGCGTCATGGCACACAAATGAATGTGCAGGTGCGTCGTAATTGCGCTGAGTCATTGCTTGTTTGTGGAGCCTACCGACCCCAAAAGAAAGCGACAATTGTTCAGCTCGATTGTTTCTTGAGTAAGCTGAGTACACGTAACGCAACCTCAATGTTAATATTGATCATCGGCCTGACAACGTCCACTGCAGGACAAAGGCCTCTCCCATGATCCGCCACTCAACTCGGTCCTGTGCTTGCTGCTGCCATTATGTACCCGCGAACTTCCTAATCTCATCTGCCCACCTAACTTACTGTCTCCGCCTAACCCGTTTGCTTTCTCTGGAAATCCGGTCAGTTATGCTTAATGACCAGCTGTCATCCTGCCTACGCGCTACATGCCCGCTCCATGTCCATTTCTTCTTTTTGATTTCAACTATGATATCCTTAACCCCGGTTTGTTTCCTGATCCACTCTGTTCTCTTATTGACTCTTAAGGTTACAACTACTATTTTCCTTTCCATCGCTCTCTGCGTCGTCCTCAATTTAAGCTGAACCCTTTTTGTAAGCCTTCCAGGTTTCTGCTCATTAAGTAAGTACTGGCAAGATGCAGCTGTTATATACCTTCGTCTTGAGGAGATAGTGACAATCTACCAGCCATGAGCTGAGAATGCTTGCCAAATCTTCTCCACCCCTCTTTTATTCTTCTAGTTAGTTCAGTCTCGTGGCTCGGCTCGCAGGTACTACCTGTCCTAAGTAGACAAATATACCTTTTCCAACTTCAAGTGCACTGCCACCTATCTCGAAGCGCTGTTTTCTTTCGAGGTTGCTGTTCATTACTTTCGTTTTCTGCCGGTTATTTTGTAGATTCCAAGAGAAGGAAAGTGGGAAAGGGGGAGACAAAGTTTGGTGGGCAGATGAGATTAGGAAGTTTGCGGGTATGAAGTGGCAACAGCAAGCAAAGGACCGAGTTGACTAATGGAACAGGGGAGAATCCTTTGTCCTGCTGTGATGATGATGAGTATGTGAATGTAAAAGTACGTGGGTGAGTGCGCCTGAGTATGGGTAGGCGTAAGTATGAAGGTGAATTCTTATGCGAGTGCAGAGGTGAGTGAGGGCTTATGATCTTGAGCAGGTGTGAGTATGAAGTTGAGTGAGTAACTATGAGTCTTAATTGAGGTGCACGAAAAATTGAAGTACAAAAAGGAGACACCTGGACACGGCGTGCTGTCTCGAGGTGTCTTCCTTTTGTACTTCAATTTTTCGCGCACCTCAGGTAATATGAATTACCAACTCGTCCAGCAGTCCGTGTTTCTCTAAGAGTGTGAGTAGTCGTGAGTATGAACGTGAGCCATGAACAATGAGTGTGAGTAGGCGTGAGTATGACCGTGAGTGACTATGCATAGGTGTGAGTATGAACGTGAGTGACTGTGAGTAGGCGTGAGTATGAACATGAGTGAGTACTCATCAGTGTGAGTAGTCGTGAGTATGAACGTGAGTGAGGGCATATGAGTGCTAGCTGGCATGAGTGTGAACGTGAGTGAGTACTCACAAGTGTGAGTAGTCGTGAGTATGAAATGAGTGAGTACTCATCAGTGTGAGTACTCGTGAGTATGAACGTGAGTGAGGGCCTAGAGTGTGAGTTGGCGTAAGTTTGAACGTGAGTGAGTACTCATGAGTATGAGTAAGAATGAGTATGAACGTGAATGAGTACTTTCAGTGTGAGTAGAAGTGAGTTTGAACGTGAGTGAGTACTCATGAGTGTGAGTAGGAGTGAGTGTGACAAGGAGTGAGTATGAACGTGAGTGAGTACTTTGAGTGTGAGAAGGAGTGAGTATGAACGTGAGTAGAAGTGAGTGTGAGTAGGCGTGAGTATGAACGTTAGTGAGTACTTTGAGTGTGAAAAGGAGTGAGTATGAACGTGAGTGAGTACTCTGAGTGTGACAAGGAGGGAGTATGAACGTTAGTGAGTACTCATGAGTGCGAGTAGGCGTGAGTATGAACGTGAGTGAGGGCCTATGAGTTGGAGTAGACGTGAGTATGAACGTGAGTGACTGTGAGTAGGCGTGAGTATGAACATGAGTGAGTACTCATCAGTGTGAGTAGTCGTGAGTATGAACGTGAGTGAGGGCCTAGAGTGTGAGTTGGCGTAACTTTGAACGTGAGTGAGTACTCATGAGTATGAGTAAGAGTGAGTATGAATGTGAATGAGTACTTTCAGTGTGAGTAGAAGTGAGTTTGAATGTGAGTGAGTACTCATGAGTGTGAGTATGAGTGAGTATGAACGTGAGTGAGTACTCTGAATGTGACAAGTGTGGAGTATGAACGTGTGTGAGTACTTTGAGTGTGAAAAGGAGTGAGTATGAATGTGAGTGAGTAGGAGTGAGTGTGAGTAGGCGTGAGTATGAACGTAAGTACTTGTGTGAGTAGGCGTGAACGTGTGAGTAGGCGTGAGTATGAACGTAAGAACGTAAGTGACAAGGAGGGAGTATGAACGTTAGTGAGTACTCATGAGTACGAGTAGGCGTGAGTGAGAGCCTATGAGTGGGAGTAGACGTGAGTATGAACGTGAGTGAGGGTGAAGGCTGAAAAAATTGGAGTGAGTGTGAGTGAGTAGTCTCTCAAAGTGCCGACCTATGCTCCTCAATCAAAGCATATGACAGAGGAAGAAGTTAACAAGTACAAAATAAAGCCTCTTAAGCAGAAAAAAAATAGGAAACCACAGCCTCATAAAAGTGACAAAGCAGCAATACCAACAACATGTAAACAAACCAAAACATCTGTGAACTACAACGTCATCAAAAGGCTGTTAACCATAACAAACAAAATAAAAGGCCACAGCACTGTAGAAGCACCGACATTTAACCAGCTATCAATCAAAGCATATAAGTTGATATAACAGAACAATACTAGGCTGGCAAAAACAAAATGGAAGGCTGTTTACCAGAGTAAAATAGACAGCTGCAAGTCATAATCTAATGCACATTGCTTCGCCCCTCCTCAACATTCACTTCGTGGATATGCGTGGATTTTTGTTTAGAAGTTATTGAAAGGTGCGACAGTCATTGAAGGTAATCAAACCTCCTCAGCCACCAGTGCTTTCCAACAGCAGCTGATAACGTTGACATAGGGGTTAAAGACATAACGGCTCATTACGTACTGCTATAAAAAGTGGTCTTGTATCCACAGGCAGCCAGACCCGGGTGGTGAATGTGATCACAGCATCGCAGCCCGGGGTGGTTCGTACTCTGAGCCGGACTGTGACACCCGGCACGTCAGGTTTGAGCCAGCGCCCGAATGCCTTGGGACTGCGACCCACGCTGGGCTCCGGTGCAAAGCCCAACGTGATTGTTGTGCACAAGGCTCAAGTATGGCCACAAGCGCAGCCTGGAATGGCGTCATCGTCGTCTCATCTAAGCCGGTCTACGGTGTGTTAAGTCGCCTTTTGGTCAGATGTTTTGTCAGTTCAGTATTATGTGTATCGGTGGTAAGCTAACTGGACAAGAAGCGACGGAGGAACACGCAGAGAAATAAGAGTGCTGCATGCGTTTATTGTTTTTTTACGCTATTTCATGATCATGAATGACCAACCATGAGCTCATTGCGATGCCACTGCGAAGTCTATTGGTGTTTGCTGTGACATTTTACATGTCTCTTTGCACCTGCTTGAATTTCATGGTGTAGCTGAACTCTGTTTGAAAAGGACGCTAGATAACACTTTGCAGTTTTACCGTAAGTAATGCCCGCCACTGAGTAAGCAGTACTTAAGAAGCGCATCAACCTACGTTGCCATGACGCATTTTGTTGTTAGTTATGAAAATTCTTGGAGACTTGCACATTGCACCCTTTCAGAGCTTCTTGTTTTCCTATTAGCTGGCGTGGTGTGTAGTGTCTTGACGTTCGCCCTCTCGCAGGACTCTGTTACATATCTGCAAAGGCAAGACCGACCCAAAACCACTGTGGGGGCCTGTGGCACAGTGACGGTCGTCAAGACGTCGGTTCCTGTTCCCCAGCCCTGTGTAGCACCTGTTGTAAGGATGCCCAGGGAAACCACTGTGAAGACTGTGCCACGCCTGTCCGTACCCACAAGAAAGGTGATGGGTTTTTTTGGTCTTCTTTATTTGGACTCTTCCCACCCCTTTTTTTTCCCAACCACCACATCTCTGGTCACAGTAATTGCATTAAAATGGAGGTGAAGTGCCATGTTTTAACATCGGTAGCACCCTGCTGCGGCATGTCTCATAGCCTGTGTCACTTTTGAATGTCAAACACCATAATTCACTCTTTTTTTTCCTTCTTCGTATAGTCTGTTGGTTTTTCGTATAAGAGATCACGGATATGTCAGTGTGTGTGAAAGCATTCCTGGGAATCATCTTCTAATGGATTATTGCAGAGGCTGTCTCTTCCTCAGGAGCACTGTGCGAAGTGTCGCTGCCATACTACTGAAGGAAGCATGCACTAGTGAATGTGCATTTTTGAAATTTGATAATCTTGAAAAGTAACTGCCGAAAGATCTATCTAAAATAATGTAGAGAAAACTGCTTTGTGGAAGCATTTGTATCCTCAGGATCCTGCACATCAATTATTAAGGCTGCTTTGGATGAGGAAAAGCCACCTTTCAAGATGTCACGAAAGCTGCAAAAGGCAAAATAATAAGTTTGGTCTAACTTCTAGGACTGCATCGCACCACGAGTGCAGCAGCTGTCTTATCACTGCCACTGGGGACTTATTCCAAAAGCTTCTTTCCTTGTGTGCAATTTCAATCATCTTAACATGGCGGGGTTTCAATAGAACGAGAAGTCTGGCAACATTTCTGAAGGGTGATCCTGAAACATTGATTGGATAGGCCATGCTTGCATAAGGCAAGCTATTCGTTTTGTGCTTCCCATTGTGAGGTGCAACCTAACTTAGACGAACATTTTTTGTTTTGTATTTTTGTTGTGCTTACACCACCATTTTTGTTTTGCTGATGTTGTCTTCATTGTTGATCAGCTCAAGAAGTAAAAGTTGACATAGAGGTTAACGCTCTGGTTGTGTAGTGTAGGTCTTAAATCAGCACAAAACACTGACGGAACTGAGGTTTAGTTAAGATTTAACCAAAGCATAAATAAGAATATACTAACCACTGTGATGAGTTAGTGGCTTCACTGTGACAGTGCTATGTTCTCGGCGTTGTGTTGTGGGGCCGCAAGTCCGGCACCTATGGGCGCACCCTTCTACAACTGCTGCGCTGACTCTCCTTCTCAACCGCTCCACAAGCGCCCTTGCCGTCAACGCAGCCACACGCCGAAAATTCCACACCTCGGCCATTGCAAGCGATGCAACAACCAGTGATAGTGACCCTTTCTTTGAACGGTCCGCACAACCTTAGAGTTAACGCATCGTTGATCGCCATAACTATAATGCGTTCATAACTTGTCTCTGTTTCACTTAGTTGTTCCTTTTCATCTTTTACCGTTGGTCATAAAGTTATATTTTTCCTGTGTTAAAAGTGGCTTTCCTTTTCCTGCCTTGAAGCTCTGCTTCTTTGAGAAGTACCTATAACACAAAACCTGCATAACACCAAGTCACCCCATTACAACCATTTCTATTGCTGACTGTTACAGCCACCGGAGCAGACGTCGAATTCCAGCAGCACTGGCGGCTCCACTCTTGGAAACAGCGGTAGCAACAACAACAATAGTAGCCTGCTTGCAGAGGTGATGCATGCTGCAGGCATCTTCCAAGGCGAAGGCGGCAGTGGGCAGCCACCGCCGTTGCTTGTTATTGGTGAAGATGCGGTGCCACCAGCTGAAGTTGAAGTTGCCATCGACACTGTGCCTGTGGATGACAATGCTGTGATATTGGACGACGGCCAGCTGTGTGAGTGCTTGAGATCTCTGGCCAAGTTCCTCGCTGCAATTGGTTCTGCAAGTTTCTGGCTGTGCCACTTTGTCCCCCAACATTTGACAATTATTTTTTACTTCCCACGTAGTTTCGCACATTGAGCCCATCGGCAAAGCAATAACAATGATGACTCCATTTGTTGTTTTGTGATGCAGTCATCATGTGAAATGGCACATCAACCTCTAGTCATTGTGTTTAAAAAGGCAGTCTCCAAATGAGTAGACTTGCAATAATTCGAACTCTGATAATTCTTACTTTCAGTTAATTCAAACAAAATTCAATTTTTTGGGTGGCCCTCTATTCTTTCGATGTATTTAGAAGCCTCTTAATTCGAACTCCCTCATTCGGTCAATTCATACTTTTAGCAGTTCTATACCAGAAAATATCTGCTGCTTTTCCACTACAATTTAAGAATTTGCATGCATATATACAGTCGAGCCTACATATAACGGCCCCACTTAAAACGAACTTTCGCTTAAAATGAACAATATCCGCGTGACCGTCAAATTATACATTGGTTCAATGGCACAAAATCGCACTTATAACGAACGTCTCCGAGCGCTGCTGATCAGTTACAGCGAACGGAGTCAGCGGTCTGCCGACTTCCCGGGAAACCAATTTCGACCACCGATCAGGCATCGGCAAGGTGCCCATACATTCTTATTGCTAAACGCCGATTTCGCCTCCGCGCCCCTCTAGTTGCCACTCTCCCCGACTACTTTTTGTTATGCACCCCTCCGCCCTTTGTCCCCTCCGCTACCCTGGGTACCCCGCATCGCCAGACGAGGCTCGTGTTTTTACACTGCCACCAATCTTTCGAAGACCAGTCGGACATCTACCCGGTTTTTGATCGCTGGTACTGTCGTTGACGTCGCCGGTTTGGAGTTACCAGACGATTTGCCAACATCGTAGGCCACCGACTGTATCCGATAGTCTGCGTCTAGTGCACGCGCGTACGCTACCCCACTGACTCTGATAATTTGCGATTAGTTTCGTGTTTAGGACTTGTTTTCGCTCACTTTGCACTCAACTGAGCATGTCTTCCGCGCGCGTGTGGAAGCCGAAAACGGCTGTCAATTTGCGCGGAACGAATCGCGAAATATCGAAGTTCATGAAGCCACGCAAACCCACCGGTGCAACGAAACGATTTTTTGACAACGACCGCCGATTCTTCGAACACCGCCGTGCGCACCGATTCATGCGGCCGTGCACTCTTTCCAAGTTTTTCTACGTGCGAGTTTCGCGGACCTTTCAAGCAAGCTACCCAACCTGCCTCCTCTCTGTGTGTTTTGGTTTTCAAGGTCGCCCTCCCGCCGCATCCTCCCCTCTCTTTATCGCAACTCATTCCTCTTCTCTCGCAAGTCTGCTCACCTCTCTTGATCACAACCCCTTCGCCCGTCTCCGCCGCTCCGCGACGCCCGCCACGCTGGCTCGAATCAGTTTCGTTTTCTGACTGGAAACGGGCCTAGAGCTGTTCCACCGGCTCTGGCATGTGTGTTGCGTGTGCGTGTCTTGCTTGCTCTTGGTGTGCGCGTGGTCATGATGGCCGACGGGAGGACTAGCACGCTTTTTTGTGCCGCTCTACAAAACGTCTAAAGTGTGACCGCTTGGCTTGAGCGTAATCAGCGCGTTAGGTGCCGCGTTGCGGAGCGCTTGCTCATAGCAGCCAACTTGCCGCTTCGGGAATCCCTGTATTCAGCTGTGGAGATGGTGAATATTTCGTGGGCGGCGGTGACGACTACATGCGCGCGAAACTGTTTTCGCGAGGCCAAGTTCGTCGACGTCGGGCCCGATGCCGAGCCTGAACTTTACGAATTGCGGCGGCGATTTGTGGCCACGCGTCATCGCCTCCGACCTGGGAGAGCGGGTGGGACATCTGTTGCGATGGTTTAATTACGGCCGATGATGATGCCGACACTGCGGAACCATGCACAGATTGGGGCATTGTGAATTAAGTACGTGGCGAAAGCGATTTGGAGGAATCGGATTGCAAGAATGACAAAACTTTGGAGCCAGTGCCTCATGCAGATTATGCCATGGGCCTTGGCGAATGAGCACCCTGCCGTTTTAAATGAACTCAAGACCACCCTTATCGCTTCTGCTCTTCGAAACACGTACATTGCGGACTTTTTGGGGCAAAAAAAAAAGTTGTGTTTTCACTCGAAACTTTTTTAAAAGCTGTGTTTCATTTACTACGAACTTCGGGATACAGCGAACGGATGCCGCGTCACGCTCAGGTTCGTTATAAGCGGGCTCGACTGTAACCCTAAATGTCTAAAAAGGAAAAATAAGCACTTCAGCTCTTCAAGAAAAAAGGCGTTTGCTAGCAAACAAATGTTTGAAACAAAGCGCACACACGGTAAACTGTGATGCTTCTCAGCTGGTATAGAGAGCTTTGTGCTGAAGGCACATGTAGCAAAGAAGCAGTTGGCAGTTCACGATTTCTTTAAAACGTCTGATCAGCAGTAAATGACCGATAAACTCATGGACCTTACACCTCTGCTTTTTGTTCATTGCGATTAAAAATATTTTATGTCTTATAAAATCGATGCCTAAGCATAATATGTGATGTAATCTCACCCATAGTCATATATCTGAGAACTTCTGATAATTCAAATTTCTTGATAATTAGAACGAATTTTAGAGGTCTCTTCGAGTTCGAAATAATGAGAGCCGACTACAAAACTCGTGTAGAAGGATGCTTTGGAGTGTTAGTGTCACAGGGTTTTGCAGCTTTTTCTATTTGTCGTTGTAGTGGTTGACAGCGAGGTGGTCAACGTGGTGGAGAACATCCCAGGCGTGGTCGTGGAGGAGGCACCGTGCCTGCTGCAGGACCACGTGGTCTGCCACGAGGTGGAACTGGTAACCCAGCCTGGACCACAGCTGGAGGTAGGGATGCTAGCAAGCTCTGCCAACTACACTGTCATAATAAAACCAACATTTAATGAAGCCAAGGAAGGTGTGGGGCATAATAATTGTACTGTATTAAGTGCATCATAGTAATTACTAGGCTTGTGTGAATGTTTCAAATATTCGAACGAATAGTGCAGTATTCGAATTCGCTTCAAATCGAATTTAAATTATTCAAAATTTTGCATTATTCGAAACAAACGAATAAATGCATATTAATCCACATGTGTCATCCCGTAATGGTGGTTTCACTGCAGTGGAGTGGTGCTAAGCCGTAAAATCACTTATCAAGGTGTATACCATATTTACTCGCGTAATGAACGCACTCGCATAATTAACGCACCCCCAACTTCAGTCGTCGAAATCTGGACTTTTTTCTCCCAAGTACCGTATTTACTCGCGTAATCTTCGCACTCGCATAATTATCGCTCCCCCAACATCGCCCAAGAAAAAATACGATTTTTTTTCCTCGAGTAATTATCGCACCCCAGAAAACTGTCGCAATATTGTGGTGTGCTCGTTCCAGCCATTAATGATGATAGCGCACACAATCTGGTGCCATCTCTTAAGGATCAAGCGTACTATTGCACGGAGATTCAATCCAGTTCAAGCCAAGCCGAAGTGGCCAGTGCGCGTTGCGGCGTGATTTGTATGTTGTGTCGATAATTTTGGCACGTTATGGGGCGATACTGAAGCCACACGGCTGCTTCAAGTTGCAAGTGATAGATTATGCGCTAAACAACGGCAACAGGGCCGTCGGTAGGCCCTTCGGAGCCTACGAGTTTTGTGTTCGCTACTGGTCACGACACCTGAAATCCACCAAGACGCGTTTTGCCTGCCGTGTGCCTAAAACTGGGATTGATGGTAAACTTTATTTTTTCAGAAGGAAACTGCGAACGATTCTGTTAAATAGCCATCAGCCCAACACTGACGTACTACGCTTACGTTTTGAGGGCTCCTGTTGAGCGCCGACCGCGCCCGCTACGCCCGCAACGCCCACAAGCTTCGCGTATGGTATTCTAATTATCGACTATTTGCTTCCACAATTTGTATCTCAAATAAATCATGGCTTGTGTTGAACTTCTGCTTTTATTGTTGAGGTAAATTCAAATTACTACTTATTAAAGCTTGCTGTAAGTTGCTGGTGTGAGAATTCCGATTTGCGGCCACTTCGTTTGCTTTTTCGCTCTCTGGGTTTTCGTGGAAAGTTTTCCCCGCGTAATTCTCGCACCCCCCCAACTTTGCATCGATATTCTGGCAAAAAAAGTGCGAGGATTACGCGAGTAAATACGGTAACAGACGCAATCCCTACATTCGTCCATGGCAGTCCCGCTAATCGACACCTGGTTCCTCCTTGCCAGTTAGATTTATATGCGCCCAGCATTGCTGGCGACGCCCGTTTCAACTGTCTGGCAGGGATGACTTCTGGCCTTCGTTCACTCCTTATACATGCATTTGATGTGGTCTGTATATAATTTATTTGGGCCCACATCAAGCGGCCGCAGCCAGGATGCCCTCTCAGGGCGATGACGAGCTCGTTGCGTGCAAGTCGTCCTGCAGTCACTTCTAGGAGGTGACACTGAAACTCGTCAAACTTCAGGCGTTTGTTCAGGCGCTCCATCACTCCTTGACGAAGTCTGTCAATTCCCATTCACATCGGAAAATGTTACATTTTTCGACCCCCAGAAACTTCTCAGGCCTCTGCACATAAAGAGGTCTTCCATCTGCTTCCTCCAACCACAAATGTTTCACTCGTGTGCACCAAACTGCCATCTGAGATCTCTTCGCTTTTAAAGGCAGCCAAATACTGTTTTCATGGTCCTCACATGATGTAAAATCGTGGCCGTCAGGAAGTAGGACTAATGCCAGTGCTGCCTAAAATGCAGAGGCCTGATGAAGATATTGCTGCACAATGCCGAAACCACAACTGCCAACTCTTGGCTGAAAATTCTTGGGGTCTGCATATACCGTATATACTCGTGTAAGGGCCGCACTTTTTTTTCGAAAATTTTGCTAGGTGCGGCCCTTACACGAATCAGGCCGATTTAGTACAGGCAGTACAGGCCAAAGGTCTGTACTGTTTATGCAACAGTAGCAGAGTGCAAGAGTCACAAATGACATGCCAGAAATGTTTTTATTCGGATTCCATTTCGCTGTCCTCGTTCTCGGAGGAGCTCGCCTCGGCGTCCGCGTCTTCCCAGAGACGGTCATCTTCGGTGCCGTTCATGGAGTTCGAAATTCCCGTTACCTTGAAGCTTTTAGCAACTACTTCTACTGACATGGCACGCCACGCATTCAAAATCCATTCACACACCTGTTGGAGCGACGCCCGCTTCAGCCGTCCTGTAGGGGTCTTCTCGTGGACGCCTCCAGCCATCCATTCAGAGTAACATCGGCGAAATTCCACTTTGAATGGTCTGTTGACGCATACGTCGAGCGGCTGCAGCACACTCGTCAGGCCACCGGGAATGACGGCCAAGTCCGTACGAGTTGCGGCAACTCGGTTCTTGACGCGGTCGGTCAAGTGGCCCCTAAAGCTGTCCAAAACAAGGAGGGCTTTCCGTTGTAACAGCCCTCCAGGTCTGTTTGCCCAGACGGTCTTAATCCAGTCAACGACCAGTTCCTCGGACATCCAGCCCTTCTCTTGCGCACGTACGACGATTCCCTGAGGGAACTTCTCTTTTGGGAGAGTCTTCCTTTTAAATACGACGTACGGCGGAAGCCTCCTGCCGTCTGCCGTGATGCACAACATCACAGTGCACCTTTGGCGTTCTGCACCAGTCGTGCGCACAGACACACTTTTCGCACCTTTTAAATCCACTGTGGTGCTTTCCGGTGCATCGAACCACACAGGTGTCTGGTCCGCATTCCCAATTTGGGACAGGTCGTATTCATGCTCCCTCCTGAGAGCATTCACGAAGCGATGAAACTTAATGACGTGGTCTTCGTACTCGCGCGGCAGTTTTTGGCAAATCGTCGTTCGGCGCCGAATAGAAAGCTGGTTACGGTTCATAAACCGCGTAGCCCAGCCCCGACTTGCCTTGAATTGTGCCGGGGGTATTTCCATGTGGCGAGCGATGCTGAGGGCTTTGACGCGTATCATGTCAGTCGATACGGCGTAGCCGTCCCTTCGTGTGTCGACGACGTAGTTGACGAGCTCGCTTTCGAGTTGCGGGTACTTGCACTTTTTCCCGCGAAACGCCTTTCGGCTCCTGTTAGTAGCGGCGAGGGCATCTTTCTGATTCATCCAGTAACGCACGCGCTTCTCATCGACGTCGTACTTTCGTCCAGCTTCCCGCTTCCCGTGCTCCTCGGCATAGTCAATCACTTGCAGCTTAAATGCTGCAGTGAATGATCTCAGATGCCGGCCCATCGTCCGTCACGTGCGCTGGCTTCTGCAGGGTTCACTACAACCAACAAAGTGACACCGACGACACCGATCTGAAGTCGCGCTGCCAACGTATCGACACGATGCTAGGAACGATGCCAACAAAGAGGCCGCACAAGGCAAATATGGCGGCGCGCTGTCAACAGCGTGGTCGGCGCGTCGGCGGAAGTAGAATAAAAGCGGAAAAGCGTGCAGCGCCATCTGGCTGTAAATGAACTAACTACACTTTTCTGGCGGGACATTTTGAACTTTTGTTTTTTTTTTTTCGAAATATCCGCTTTCAAAGTTGGGGTGCGGCCCTTACACGAGGGCGGCCCTTACACGAGTATATACGGTAGTCAGAGGCCGAAATTTCACATCATAAAAACAAGAAACCTTCGACTATGTGTGGGTTTTTACAGTAATCTTTTATTTGTTTCATTTTACGCTTTGTTCCCCTGGTGTTTGCTACTTTGTATAAATAAAGGCTGCTTGTTGTTTTAATTCCAGGTCGTGTCAGCGTTACCTTCGACTGAAAACAGTCTTGCTCAGTTGACCCAGAACGGCCAAATTGCTACCAAAGAGCCAGTGAGCCATAAAGCTTTCCCAAGTAAGCCTCTTTGCTAGAATGAATCCTGTTTTGCCAAGAGTCTTTGTTCTTTTTTTTTTTTTAACCTTTCTAATAATTCAGACATCATAATCTGAGAATTTTCTATCTTTGCTTGAACTTTTTATACGGGCAAGAATCTCTAAGAAGTCGGCAGATGCACTTCTCAGCTGTTTTAGGAGATGTACATAAAGGACTGTGATAACATTAAAGATGGTATGATGTGTACTGAGAAGGAAATTAATGCCATCGACAACATATTGATAATACATGTCATTAGTAATAGTCCTTGCTTATTGCACTGTAAGGGTGGCCGAGAGAGGGCGTTACGTGACGGCATCATCATCATCATCGTTAGGACTTGGCCGAGAGAGGGCACTACATGATGGCACCATCATCATCATTGGAACTGGTAGTTGTGGGGGTTGCGTGTGTGGGGAAGGTGAGAGTTCGGCCTGGTTGGGGAGACTGGCAAGACGTAGCGGTGTGTTGTGTGCGATTTAGGGTTAGCGCGTGACAAGTAGAGGCTTGTCCGGGATGGCTTCAGGCCCGACAACAGCAGCGGATAACATGCCTAAGCTCCAAGGTGTCGTTAAAGAGCTGTTGCTGGGCACTGACGGCTCCGCCATGGTGCGCGAACGAATCGCAGCGGTTGTGCGCGATCGAGTGATGGCGACGCCGCTGCCCACAGCTCTGCACGTGGGAGCATGGACTGTGATCGCTAACACTGGCGCAGTTTCTCAGGCCACCGACGACTGTGCATCTCAGCTCGCGGCTGCGCAACTCCCCCGCTACTCCGGTGTTAGAGATTTGCAGTCGCCGGAGGAGTTTCTTGAACGCCTGGAAAACTTCTGCCTTGTGATGGGGGTCGCCGCCGATAAGCAACTGACTCACGTGGCACCGGCTGCCCTTAAGGGCGGCACGAAGTTGTGGTGGTGGTTCATGCGTGGGTTCGACTCGTGGGAGCAATTCACTGCCGCCTTCTGCTCCAAGTTCTCGTCGATTGACGCGAAGCGTCGCCTGAAGGCGGAGCTCGAACAGTGCACGCAGCACCCGGAAGAGAATCTGAAGGAGTTTATTTATGCGGTCGCTACGTTTTACAACCGCATCAGGGAAGAGGTCTCCAAGCCGAGAAGGTGCAGCGCGTACCGAGGCAGATGCACCCTCAGCTGCAAGATTTGGCGGAGGGGCATGCCTACAACGACCTCGCCGAGTTGGTGAAGGCAGTCGACAGCCTAATGGAGCGGGCTTGGCGTCGCCTCCAGTACAGACCATCGCCACTTCCTAGCAACCAAGTAGCCAGAGATCTGGCGTTCCGCCCTAGCCTGGATCCGTCTATTGCTCGCTGCCGCAGCCGAACACTATAGAGACGGCATTTTTTGCTTGGTTTGTTGCTGTCCCACCGGTGCCGTTGACTTATCACTGGCCATTGCATCCAGCTGCACTGGACCCGTCATACTGCCGGGACCGGCAGTACTCGTGCGACACAGCGCCTCCGTTCTCACCCTACGGGCCGGGACCGACGCCGCGGCAGGAGCCCACGAGTGGAGCAATGCGTGTGCAGTGCCATCACTGTGGTGGATTCGGCCACATTTCTCGTAACTGTGCCACGGGTCGACGAATGGGGCCACCCGTTTGCTTCCGGTGCCAGCGATCGGGTCACCTGCAAGCACAGTGCCCGGGAAACCAGTGGCGGTAGGTGCTGCCCGGCGGAGACCTACGGCAGTGCCCACCAAGTAGCTACCACAGCCGATGGCAAAGGGCCCCTTATGGAGGTTCGTATCGGGTCGTCGATGTTCAAGGCCCTGCTAAACACAGGCTCAAGTGTAAGGTTCTTCGGATCGCACGCTGCGGCAGCGGCCCAACCTTCTGGAGCGAAACCTAAGGCAGACGTACGCGTGCTGCGTTTGGCATCATGCTGGTCGCAGTCAACCATGTCTCTAAAGTGCCAGATCGAGTGGGCTGCTGGTTGCCGCAGACAGCAGTTTTTGTGCGTTCCTGACCTGTGCCGTGACGTTGTCCTTGGTAGGGATTTCCTGACGGTGAGTGGCATCTCGCTGCACGTGTCACTTGGTGGCTGGACTATCGGCACACAACCACAAAGAATTGTGCCCTTTGTCAAGGTCGTTAGGGAACAGCCAGAGGTAGTGGATGATTTTGGAGACAGTCTGCGCTGCATTTTTGCTGAGGGCGAGGCCAGTGTGTGTGCCAGTGTGCCGGAGGCGACTGAAGCCTGCAATGTGATTATTCCCGGCCACTCGTCGGACCTAGACCCACGCATGAAACACGTTTTAGAAGAGTTTAGTGAAATCTTCACCACCACTCCGGGCTGCACAACCCTGGCAGAGCATCGCATAGACACGGGAGACAACCCACCTGTTTTATGCAAACTGCGACCAGTGAATGCCAAGAAGCAGGCCATCATGGACAACTGCATTCACGACCTGCTGGCACAGAACCTCATCCGCCCTAGCCAAAGTCAGCATGCCAGTGCTCCAGTCCTGGTTGAGAAGTCTGGTGGCTACCGCATGGCTGTGGATTACCGCCAGCTGAATGCACGCACTAAGGTGCCAGTCCACTCCATGCCCAGGACTGATTGGTTGCTGGCACAGCTGGGACGAGCCAGGTGGTTCTCAAGTTTTGATCTTTCACAGGTTTTTTTTCAAATCTCTGTTCAAGAGCAGGATATTCCAAAGACAGCGTTCATTTGCCATCGGGGAATCTTCGAGTTCTTGAGAATGCTCTTTGGAGTTGCCGGAGGTCCTTCCACGTTCCAGACCCTGATGGACCGACTACTGGAGGGAATCAATCACCAGTTTGCCATGGCCTTTCTCGATGATGTCCTGGTGTATTCGGAGACCCTAGAGGATCATCTCGAGCATGTTCGGGAGGTATTGAAGCGGATAAGTTCGTCACAGTTGACCATTAATTCAGAGAAGGTGCACGTGTGCTGTCAATACCTGAAGTTCCTTGGCCATGAAATATCGCCCGGGCAGTGTAGGCCGGACAAGGAAAAAGTGCGTGTGGTGCTGGACTATCCTCAACAACACTCGGACAGCTGCAGGCCTTCCTGGGACTAGCAGGCTATTACAGAGGGTTCATACCTCAGTTTTCTATCGCTGCACGTCCACTCACAGAACTCCTTAAGGAAAACCAACGTTGGCGGTGGGAGCTGAAGCAAGAGGAAGCTTTTAGAGCACTTAAGCAGTTCCTGGCTGACAATGTCGTTGTAAACTTGCTGGACCTCAACAGACCATTCGTGGTGGAAACAGACGCCAGTGGAGTCGGCATTGCAGCGGTGCTTCTGCAGGAAGCCAAGAGTGATGCTCAACTGCGTCCAATAAGCTTCATTAGCAGGGTCCTCACTGAGGCAGAGCAGCTATACAGTGCAAGAATGGGAGTGTCTGGCTGTGGTGTGGGCGGTGGACAAGTTCCGACCATACCTTGAGTTCACCGACTTTGAGATACACTGTGATCACTCCTCACTGTCCTGGATGTTCACCACAGACCAGGCCTCACCACGTGTAAAGCGTTGGGTTTTGCGGCTGCAAGGTTTCAACTGCAGGATCAAGCACAGGCGGGGTCTTGCAAATGTGCCAGCCGACGCCTTGAGCAGAGCTCCCCTTCAGCACCAGGAAGTTCCAGGCCTGAGTCTACACGAGACGCTGTTCCCTATGGCTGTTCCCTATGGCTGTTCCAGAGCCCAGCCCACAAATCAGCTTTGAGGCTGTTGCTGTAGCGTTTGAAGTGGACGACACTACTGTCTTGAATGATGCAGGGCTCCTTGACCAGGAACAAGAGCAGGACCCCATACTGTCAAAACTACGAACTGAGATGAAGGGAGGGAAGCTTCCGCCCACTGACAGTGATCAACCTTTGATCAAAGACCTGGCGGAGACGACCGAGATGGAAGAGAGTGGGTTGCTTGTACAGCACCGTGGGAACAGAAAAGTACCTTGGCTACCAAACCATCTCTGCAACTTGGTCCTGCGACTGTCCCATGACCACCCGATTAGCAGCCACTCCGGCTTTTTTAAGACCCTCAAACGCATTTCTCAGAATTTTGTGTGGTTGGGTATGCGCTCAGACATATCTAAGTATGTGCGATGCTGCCAGGTTTGTCAGCGCACCAAAGCCCACCGCCAGAAGCCAGAAGGGCTGATGAGCAGCCAATGAGCCACTGCCCCCATGGAACAGCTCAGCGTGGACATAATTGGGCCCTTGACTATGACGCCTCGACGTCACAAGTACCTTCTCGTGGTGATTGACAAGTTCACCAAGTTCATTGAACTTTTCCCATTACGGGCAGCAAACAGCAAGAGTGTGGTGGGCTGCATGGTCCAGGTTTTTTGCAGGCATGGCACACCTGTCTCCGTTTCATGTGATAATGGAAAGCCCTTTGTAAGCAGGTTGTGGAAGGGCCTCCTTGGGCACTGGGGCATACAAGACCGACACACTATTCCGTACTGCCCTGCCGGGCAAATGGTGGAGTGCCACAATGGCACTACCAAGCAGTGCCTTAGGGCTTATTGTTCCAACCACAAAGACTGGGACCAGCACATTCCTGAAATTGCTCTGACCATGCGCACGGCTGAAGGCGTTGTCACGGGCTACACGCCTGCCTTCCTCTGTTATGGCCGGGAGCTGAGAACCCCATGGACACAGGCTGAAGCTAAAGACGACGCGGAGCCTCTTGCGACAGCATACTGTGCATTTGCTACTGAGGTCTCCTATTGTCTGCAGGAGGTGCTTGACTTCTCCAGGGCACACCAGGACCACATGTGGCGGGCCCAGAAGACTCGCTACGACCAGAACAGGCGGCCACTGACAATACAGGAGGGTTATCTTGTTCTGCTCGAAAGCCACTCCCTCAGCGATGCCACCAAGGGCTTCTCCTCAAAGCTTGCACCCTGGTGTTCCAGTCCCTTTCGGGCAGTGAGAGGTGTAGGACAGAATGACTTTGTTCTAGTGGACCCCAAAACGGGTCGTCGCCACGGTGTGAGACAGGCAGATCAGCTGACACTCTACCATGAAGCTGCAGGCGATGTGTAGTGGTGGCTTCACATTTTGAGGGGGGGGAGACCTGTGAGGGTGGCCGAGAGAAAGCGCTACGTGACGGCATCATCATCATTATCGGGACTTGGCCGAGAGAGGGCACTACATGATGGCACCATCATCATCATTGGGACTGGGAGCTGGGGGGGTTGCGTGCGTGGGGAAGGGGACAGTTCGGCCTGGTTGGGGAGAGTGGCAAGACGTAGCGGTGTGTTGTGCGCGATTTAGTGTTAGCGCGTGACAGCATAGATGATATAGCTTCACGCCAAAAGTATTTTATCCGAGATAAAATTTCTGAAGTGGCATTTCAGTTTATGGAATGTAACAGCATTTAAAATGTGGTAGCAGATAAACAAGGGCAGGCATAAATAATATTTGCACTTAAATTTTTCTAATGATGCTGCAAGCTTATATGTAACTTCTTTTTGTGCTACAATGCAAAAAACAACACCGCACTGTCGTAATGCCATCAGTGTAGGGTGCAACTTTTTTCAGTGACAAAAAAAAAAAAAAGAGAAAAAGAAGGTCTTACTGTACATTAAAAACTCCAAAATTATGAGTTCAAACAGTGGGGGCTCTAAAATGCATAGAGGCAAAAGGTGGGTAGCGGGACGAAGGTGTCTTTTCACTGTAGTCGGTAAGTGGTGTGAATGTTTGGCTGCAGCAGTAGTTCATTCAACGCTTCTTTTTGTTGTTTTCAGGTGCGTCATCATCAGCCGAACAGCCGAAATTAAAAAGTGCAAACAGCGATGGTGCGTTGCCAACACCGGCACCTAAAAAAAGTTCAGATAGGCCTCGCGGCTTGCAGGGGAAACGGCCAGGCTCTGGTGAGTGCAGTTGCTGTGGACATCACTGGGCAGTGCTAGAAGTAGAAGCAGAGTGGCCGCCAGAGGCTTTCCGTACCTTGTGCTTATTTTTATCATTTTTCAAAATGTTTTATCTGGTGATTCAGCATGCCTTTGACTTAAGCTCAGTTTTGTGCTTTTGGTAGAGCTGTTTTGACTGCCATTGGAATTATTTTCTGGATCTGCATTTAGAGCAGCGAACAGATTGGTCATTACTGCGGGTATTGGTGAAGATTGGCCTAGTGTGCGGGTGGTACCTCATGCACTCAACACGGTTATGGGCAGAGTACAGTGGCCTTTACTCCTTGTTATCACTGGCACATTTTCTGTTGCATTTGGTCGTGCTTATAAGAGCTGTATGTCCTAGATAAGGGTTCTTCGCTTGGGCTCCTCAGGAAGGTTGTAAAGTCTCGTTCACAACACCTGTGATGACTGTATCATTAGTCACACGACCAAGCTAGTCGCAAATGACTGCATTGGCTGTATAGCAACTGCTTCAGTCGAGTTACTTGCTGCTCGATTTTACAAGATGTCAGCTCGTATGGGGTGATGGCGATAGAAGAAGATGCTATCTGTGAGCATGTCACATGCAGATGTGAATGTCAGTCACGTGGAGTCTCTTCTTGGTCACCAGTCATGAATTTTCATGTGACCGTTGCTAGTTGCAGGTGTGGATGAGTTTTTATGCTGAATTTATTACTCATTTTTCCTGCGGTAGGAATCAGAAGTGACCACTAAGTTGTTCTCAGACTGTCGCAACAGTCACTTGATGCACCCTTCCATTAAATCTAGAGATCTTCTTTTTTTCTCATGTGTGTTTACTGTTGCCGAGCGCAGAATTCCATGCTTGCAGTGACTGCACGCTGCGAACACACATAATGTCCGATGCTTGATGGCTATGTTGACGCTTGGTCAAGTGTTGCTAAACAGACGCAATTAGAGAGACACGGCAACGCAGTAACAACAGCCATGTCTCAGCTACATCTCAATTGCAGTAGCAGAGTAAAATTGGGAAAGGACTAGACATCTGCAACAGTGTGGCATGGTTAAGATATAGGTGCCAGTAGTAACTCTATTCACGAGGATGTATTCTAGAAATAGGGTTAAAATTTAGGAGGAAGGTTTTTTTTATACATATAGTCAATGCACACTTCTCATGAAAGCTACTACGAGCTTCCCTTTTATAGGGAAGTAATGTGGAGCAATATGAGCCATTGATAACTCATAACCACAAAAGTTAATGGCATAAAAGTTTGTCCAAAACGAACTATACTTTACACATTTTCATGGCGCAAAACGAAAACTGTGCAACTTACTATAAACTGACTACATATCTAAAATCAGCATCAAAGCCTGTATATACAGCAAAAAAAATTTCATTACCCTAGGCTACAGATAAATGAAACTTTGACGATCGCATCTTCCCATGAGAAAAGGGTGCTGCTGTTAGCAAAAAGAAAGGGCTACCATGGAAGCAAGGTCTGCCAGTCAATGTGGGCAAGATTGTGGGAGGCCCACTATGGTTGCCAAAAAAATAATAGTGACTAGAAGAAACATTGTGCTGATGAATTTTTGTCAGGAACTATCATTGTTGATAGGTAGATCGAGCACTGTATGTGCGTGCCACAAACCATATATAGAATCTAACACCCTAATAAAGAGTCAATGAATAGCAAGGTAATTTTGAAAGCAGAGCAAATCAATACGCACAATATGTTTATGCTAACATGACAAACTAAGGGGGAAAAAAAATGTCCTGGCCCTCCTAAGTGGTCAAAGTAGATGTCACAAGGCATGCATTGGGAATCAACCTCCACAGTTTTGACACAGAGTAGATGTCTTCTATGGTGTGGATGGATGTTCTGTCCTTCGGCTGGGCGACTGTGCCACAGGACGTTGCCTGTAGCTGACTGGGCTAACGGTGAAGCCAGATGACTGTGTGTGTGGCCTTGGGCAGAGGCATGTGACTGACATAGGAACTGGAGCAGGCAGAAGTGGTGAGCCTTGTAGCCAAGGCTCGTGACCTGGAGGCATTCTTTGGCATCTCTACATTAGCCCCTCTCGTATCTGGACTGCTGCAGCTCTTAATCAAGTGCTTATTACGCAGCTGGAGATGTACCGTAATTACTCGAATCTAATGCGCACCTTTTTTCCGGTTAAGCCAGTTCATAAATCGCATGCGCGTTAGAATCGAGTACGAACAAAAAAATTACGGTCAATCTATTGCCATCGGCAAATTCAAAATGGCCGCCCCCTATGTGCGTCGGCATGGCGCGTCGGCCATTTCTGCCTATGTGTTTCCCTTGTGCGGCACTTCGTACGTGTGCTGAGGAGTTCATCTAGTAGTGCATTAGCATCGACGGCATGGAAGGGCCGACTCCAAAAACTCGAGTGCACCACGATGCCGCTTTTAAAAAAAAAGTCATCGCGTGTGCAGAAACGGACGGAAATCGGGCCGCATCGCGGTCGTTCGGAGTTCCCGAAACGTGCGTGCGGGACCGGCGGAAACAAAAGCAGAAGATTGTCGACAGCAAAGCTTCACGCAAAGGCTTCAGTGGACCACAGCAGGGTCGGTTTCCGCAAATTGAAGAGCTGCTCGGCGAGTATGTGCTTGAGCAGCGAGCGGCACAGCGGCCCGTGACGACATAACTGCTCCAAGTGCGGGCTATGCAATTGGTCTTAGAAAAAGGTGTAATGCGGAGCCAGTTTAAAGCGAGCAGGTGCTGGCTAACTAACTTTATGAAGAGGAAAGGTATTCCTGCCTGTGGTGTCTACGGCGGCCAGCGCATCGACTACGCAGACGAAGATAAATGCCATCACGCTCCCGTATCAGCAGCTTACCCATGACCAAGAACCGCACGTGCTGAATCTTTCTACACCGCATGATGGCGCCTCGACTGCATCGACTATGGCTATAAAAGGACGGCTGCAGCAACACCCGCGCAGTGGGCACGTCGGCTGGCATCGGAACGGCGTCATGTCAAACCCATTCCTGTTCTTTGTACAGGTATTCCTGCCTGTGGTGTCTACGGCGGCCAGCGCATCGACTACGCAGACGAAGATAAATGCCATCACGCTCCCGTATCAGCAGCTTACCCATGACCAAGAACCGCACGTGCTGAATCTTTCTACACCGCATGATGGCGCCTCGACTGCATCGACTATGGCTATAAAAGGACGGCTGCAGCAACACCCGCGCAGTGGGCACGTCGGCTGGCATCGGAACGGCGTCATGTCAAACCCATTCCTGTTCTTTGTACAGGTTGGTGTCGATTACTCCTCAGTTAAAACAAGCAATCGTTGTTTTATACAGCTGACGTGCCCAAGCTGTCTACATGCTTTTTTTGTGAATACATGGGATCTTGTACGGTCTTTGCTAATGTTGTGCGGAGACGTAGAGCTCAATCCCGGACCTAGTACCGCGGAACTTCTCAAACAATTACTTGATGGTCAGAAACTTATACAAGAAAGGCTAAACGCCATTGAATCCAAGCTGCAAAAAGTTGACAAAATCGAAAAAACTGTGCAGTGCCTTGAAAAAAGGCTTGTGGATTTAGAAGACCGAAGCAGACGCAACAACCTTGTGGTATTTGGTATTCCGGAAAGCGAGAATGAATCAACCGTTGTCCTAAGCGAGAAGGTCGTTACTGAGCTTTTTAAAGATACTTTGGGAGTAGAAGTACACTCAGTAGAAAGATTACACAGAATGGGGCGTCGCCAACCAAATAAACCTCGCCCTGTGATACTGAAATTGTTCGACCATCGTGAAAAAATAACCGTTCTACAAAACTGTTTTAAGCTAAAAGGAAAGCGCATGTCAGTGTCTGAAGACTTCTCCGCTGCCACTAGGCAAATAAGAAAACAGCTCTGGGATAGCACGGCTGACCTACGCAAATCGGGAAGGAAAGTCAGACTCGTGCACGATAAAATTAGAATTGATGATGAGCTATTTGAATGGGACGACGAACAAATGACTAGAGTATCAGTTTCAAAACGCCGATCTAGGGCAAGGCAAAAAGATGCGTGACCACACAGTCACACAGAAAGTTTTACTTGCCTAAACATTAATGCTCGCAGCATCGTAAATAAAACAACCGATTTGGAAAGCATAGTCATCGCGCACAATCCAGAAATTATAGTAATCACAGAAACATGGCTTAACAGCGACATTGGTGATTACGAAATTACACCCTCGGGTTACTGCATCCTTCGAAACGATAGAGATACGCGTGGTGGCGGAGTTGCGATTATATTCAAGGACTCGCTGGAGTTGTTGAGACTGCCCGACATCATAGGAATCGAATGTGTTGTCGTGAAGGTTATCTTGAAAGAATGTGCATTGATAATTGGCGGTTTCTATAGGCCCCCTAGTTCAGACATATCTTTCTACGAAAGGCTTAATAACTTTTTATTGCCTTATAGAAATCACTCCAGTAATCTAATGCTTGTTGGAGACTTTAACGTTCCCCACGTTGCCTGGGACAATGACTTTCCCTATGCGCTTTCAAATGAGGCTGAACATATTCTTGATCTTGTGTTGTTTCATGATTTAACACAACTTGTTCATGCACCTACTCGAGTCCAAGGTACCAAACAATCAGTCTTGGATCTATTCTTGGTCAACCACAGGGTATTACAGCGAAATCCAACTATCCGAATCTTAGAGGGTATATCGGACCACAAAATTGTATGCCTGGATATGCAATTAAGCTGTATCCACAAGGTGACAAAGCGAGAAACTTTTGTTCCTGTGTTTGCACGTGCAAGTGATGTTGACGTACTTGACGTACTAGACAGCTCTTTCGCACACTTTGTATCCCTCTACGAGTCGGATAAGCACTCGGTTAATCACCTGTGGAACTTTTTCAAAAACCTTGTGACAAAGTGCATTGACGAATTTGTACCACGTAAGCGTAAAATAATACGGAACACTAACCCCTGGATAACCAAAGAGATAGTACGCTTGGGACGAAGACTTAAAAAAGTAAAACAAAAACTGAAACGGCGCAACGAAGCGTCCACAAGCAACTTGGTTTGCGCACTGAGATTGCAGCTTAAAAACTGTATTGCTGACGCTAAAACTCATTATCAAAACGTGCAACTAAAAAAGTTTATTTCTTCGTCCCCGGCGAAATTTTGGAGGTATCTGTCACCAAATAAAAAATCGGCACCTACTCTTGTCTTAGACGGCAATGCGGTGACCAACAGCTCAGAAACAGCGCGCATACTCAATGAATACTTCTGTTCAGTTTTCACTGATGATAATGGCACGGAACCTGAATTTCTTTTGTTTGGTGATTTGCCACCGATTGACAATATAGAAATAGATGAAGAGGGCGTATTTTCCCTTCTGCTCAAGTTAGATGATAAGAAATCTAGTGGGATCGACAACATACCTAATGCTTTTCTGGTGCGCTACGCAGAATGGTGTTCTAAGTACCTAAACCTAATCTTTCGGAAATCTCTTTCTCGAGCAGAACTTCCTCATGACTGGCGTTACGCCAAAATAACTCCCATACCAAAAAAGGCAAACCAGTACATACCTTCCGCGTACAGACCGATATCGTTGTTATGCGCATGTGTTAAAGTTCTGGAACACATAATATTCAAGCACCTTTCCGCGTTTATCGAAAGCAACAACATAATAGACAGTCGCCAGCATGGCTTCCGACGCGGCTTATCGACGGTTACGCAGCTACTCGAAATGGTACATGACCTTGCCTCTGGTCTGGACAAACAAAGCCAAATTGATATATTATTTCTAGACTTTGAGAAAGCGTTTGACCGCGTGTCACACCGTAAGCTTCTAATCAAATTCAAGGCGATTCTGAAAAATGACTCTTTATTAGCCTGGATCGAAGCATACTTGAGCTGCAGGTACCAGTGCGTCACAGTTGGTGGAACCAACTCGCCATCCGCGCCAGTTCAATCCGGCATACCTCAGGGATCCGTCCTGGGGCCTCTTTTCTTTTTGGTTTTTATAAATGACATTGTCCGCGATATACCAGTTAAGATAAGGCTTTTCGCAGATGACTGCGTGCTTTATCAAGAAGTGAATGATCCTAGCGACCAGCTTCTTTTAAACGATTCTTTATCTAAAATTCAAGACTGGTGTACGAAATGGCAAATGAACATAAACCCCAAAAAAACTGTTGCGATGACCATAACCCTCAAAAAAGATCCTTTAAAATTCCGATACAACCTAGGCAATCACTCCTTATCATTCGTTTCGCAATATACGTACCTTGGCCTTGTAATCACATCTGATTTAAGGTGGAACGATCACATAGCTTACATTGAAAAAAAGGCTTTGAGAAAACTAGGTTATTTACGAAGGACGCTAGCTAAAGCAACCCGCGAGACTAAGCTACTCGCATATAAAACGTACGTAATACCATTACTTGAATACGCGTCGCCTGTATGGGACCCCCACACACAAGCTAACATTGATAAACTTGAATCAATACAGCGAAAATCTGTACGGTTCGTGTTTAATGCCTACCGACACGACACATCTCCATCAGCTCTTTTGGAAAGCGCTAAGCTGAAAACTTTGCAATGGAGACGTTACCATGAAAGAATGAAGTTGTTCTACCTCATATATAATGACAAGCTAGCAATTCGGAAAACCAATTACATTAAACCAATTTTGCGCCGCGAAACGCGCTCCTCCCACCCTAAAAGAATTGATGAGCTTCTCTGTCATACTAACATATATCGGTACTCCTTTTTTCCCCGCGCAATCAACGAGTGGAACAAATTGCCACCAGAGGCTCTGGAAAGTGTCGATCTGAAATCATTTCTCCGTGCGTTACCTGCTCCATCTTTCTGATAGCTACACTCCCATTTCCTTTACAGTGCCTTTGTTCTTGTGCCCATTTTAGACAAAATATTTGCCTTACAGAGGTTCGTTCTAAACTTGCGGCGCAACAACGGCTACATGCTTGGGCAAATTGGGAATGCCGATCAGACGCCTCTTTACTTCGACATGCCTGGCACCACAACCGTCGAGAAGAAGGGGGCGAAGCAAGTTCGCATGCTGACATCGGTCCACGGTAAAACTACAGTGACGGCAATGCTCTGTTATACGTCAGATGGGCACAAGCTTCGCCCGTACCTCATATTTAAATGGAAGACGCTCCCGAAAGAAGTCGTTTTTTTTTCGAGTGGTGTGATCGTGCAGGCCAGCGAGAAAATCGGGTGCGCGTTGCAATCGATGTCTTACGTTTTTTTTTTTTTTTTCGCGGTGGAAATCGGGTGCGCGTTACAATCGAGGGCGCGGTAGAATCGAGTAAATACGGTATGTGCCTACGTCCTAGTGCACGTCAGCAGTTCAGCTTTTTCATCCCATCAATTCCTCTACCTTGGTCTCCTTATTTGGTCTTCTTTATACATACTTTACAAGCGTCTTCTTATTGGCTTCTTGTATTCTTTTCCTTCCTCACTGTTTATGGGCTTGCATCACCTGCCTCTTTTGTTCATGATGATTTCACAAATATAATAATAGTATCTTCAGTTTCGCATGCCGAAACCATGGTGTGATTTTATGAAGCACTCAGTGATAGAGTGCTCCAAAAATTTTCGCCCTTTAATGTACTGTAACAAGCACCTAAATCTAAGTACATTGTCCTCTAGCATTTTGCTTCAATCTAAATGTGATGGGCACGACCAGTGTCACACTGGCGACTTTTAGGTCAGCAGATGAACGCTATAACCAGTGTACCACCGAGGTAGACTTTCCACAAATAATTACCCATTTTAGGAAAGTTATTCAGTTAACTTGGCAAATGTAGTCAATGACCAGGAGCGTGGTAATTAAAAAACAAAAAAAAAACAGGGGTAAGGTGGCCGCTGCTCAAAACGTAACATGACCTCGAGTGTGTTCAGCTCTAGGGGAATGATAGAAAAGAAAACTCGCGTCAGCGTTTGTTCTGCATGACATTTGTACCATGACCTTGTTCTAAATTCAAAAATGTTAGTCATGCGTGATAAAGCAAGCACTTTCATCCAATGCTTACAGATGACGGAAAGGACGTTCCTGGTACCAGCAATGGTATTGTTGCCAGTGGAGTTGCTGAACGTCTGGGTCTAATGGTAGCGTAAAATTCTTACATACTTGTACTCTTGAAGACATTGTGCTTCTAGGCCACTTCCAGATTATTAAAGCTAGTCATAGAGTTCTATGAGATAGCTTTGTGAGGCAGGTTTATTGTGAGCCCGGCATCTTGCTCATTTTTTCCTCCATGGCTTACCTGTTCTTTAGATGGAACACTCTGTCTTGCAGCTTTTGCCAAAACAGTGCGATTTCGTCAGCGGGAACATTTCTGATGTAAAAATGTAGTTCTAGGCAGTTCGAAGAACACTTGCAGGGTCACAGTGTGGCACAGCAGTCAATGGATTTAATGTGAAGATGAGTGGAACTTTCAGTATATGCATAATACAGCATTGTTGCGTGGAACTTTTCCTAGGGGACATTGCAACTGTTCAGTGGGGAGAATAGTTGAGTATATTTTTTGATTTAATCAAAAGGAAGCTCAGAGCTACAAGCGATCTTATCACAGACAGGGAGTCCTTGTTGTCACCCTTTAGTTCAGTTTCTTCTCATCCAATCTATGGTAGTGGCAAAGATGACAATTTAGGTAACGAAAATACCATGTGTCGCGAAATACACTGTTACACTTATTGTAGGGTGTGTGTACGTGTTATTGTGTGTGCGATTTGCCTAATGCTTCTTTGCCGTGTAACTGTTGTCGCTGGTTTCAGATCATTCATTCTGTGTTGTTGCAGGTTTCAGGGGCCACTGGCATTCCAATTTCATCTACCAGCAAATTGCATACCAGTGACACTGCCCCAGCTCTGAGACCTGCCACAAATTCAACAGCAATAGGTTCTACCCATGCTGCCCCACCTGCCTCCTTAGCACCTCTAAACGAAGCAAGTGGTCTGTTGAGGCGGACTGATGACTCTGATCTAGCTGTCCCTGGTCCTAGTAAAGTGTCTATTGTAGGTTTAACATGGAAGCACAGTACGAAAACACCACTTCCTTGTCCAAGTTCAGCAGCGGGGCAACACCAGTCTAACGGGCCTCAGCAGTCCGTCGTCCGCATTCAACCAGATCTGCCTGTCGGCATCAGTGAAGCACTGTCTACATCCAATGGACCTTCGAGGGTTTCGCCTGATGCTGATATACTTGGCAGTGTCAATGGAAACTCAAACCCAGACATGAGTGACAGTCAAAGTATTAGGCAAGCAAGCAAACATTCGGGCACATCTTCAAATGGCAATGGTGGCCCGACCCAGAGCTCTGCAGAGAACATTGCTGAGCATTCAATGGAAAACTCCGTGGAGAACCTGATAGAGAACTCCGAGGGTAATTCAGATGACAATACGAATGACAGTTCTCAGGGGAGCTCTGGCATGGTTGGCGGTGAAACTAATGAGGAGGACTCCGTGGGTCCCATCGACCTCCAGGACTCCATATCGAGCTCCTCATCAGCGGCGCTAGTCTACCCTCGCAATCCTGACGAAGAGCAGTCTGCCATAATCAGTTCGTCATCAAATGACCACAGTCGAAGAGACATCCACAAAGCTAAGCGTGCTTGCGATGTAACCAGCTCAACATCTGTGTCTGCGTCTCCATGTCCAGCGACACCAATGCCATCGACATCTGCTGTCTTCGGGGAGCAGAGCTTGCCAGTTGCAAGTTCGACACCATCTGCTCCCGAGCAAAACTCTCCGGACCAGACCAGTGAGGGCAGTTCCACAGCCCATTTTGAGCTGCCTTCGTGCTTCGGCGAGGGCAATGGCAGCAGCAGTTCTAACGTCACGTCAGCTGAGCTGGAGATCGCTGTGGTCTCCTCACCGACTCCGGATGCTCAAGAGTTGTCGGCAAACAGTGCGAGTGGTGAAAGAAATGTCGCTGGTAGCGAAGAGCGAAGGAGCAGTGCCGTCGAGTCGTCCGAGCAGGAGGGTCCGGCGGAAGTCAGCTCGGCGATCGCAGCGCAGCAACCTGGCGCTTCGTTGTTGCCTGCTCAGCGTGAAGAGGTGACGTCTGCGCAGAATGGTAATGGCCCGTCGTCTGCAGCGAATGGTGAAGTGACGTCAGCCGTGTCATGTCCAAATTTTGACAATGACGATGATGATGTTGATGGTAACGAGGCCGGATCACTAGTGAGTGAGCTTGTTGTCAGTAGTGAGGAAGAAGTGAGCACTGCTGAGGCTGTGTTAGTGCATTCCGAAAGTCTGGCCGAAATCACATGCTCAACTGTTGATGCAACGAGTGCTTCAATAGCTTCTGGTAGTTTGTTTCACCACAACGCACGGCCTTTGTCTGTGTCCAGCACAGAGGAGGCAGAATACCTTGGAGGTAAGTACTCATGCTAAAATTTGATATTATTGATCCTTTGGCACGCTTTTTTACTGTACGTATTCCAGCTTGTATTTAGTTGTTATAATGTTATTGCACTATAGTCATATTTTAAAAAATATAATGGAGAGAAGGCTCCTCAGAGCACCTCATGTCTAAGCATAATACTAATACCATCCAAAACTAATATAAGATTATGATGCACGCTGTAGTGGAGGGCGTCCTGAAATTTCTACCTTATGGTGTTCTTTGATGTGCACTGATACAGCACTGTATAGAGACCTTTAGTATATTGCCTTCATCAAAATGTGGGTGTCACACTGCATGGGAAGGCAACAATAAGGGAAAAAGGAACATGTCCACCCAATTCTCATTTTTAGTGCCCATTGCCTGGTGGTGTAAACAACGGTTATGGCTCGCATCAGTCCTGCCTCCTTTCTTGCTGAAAGCTTCTCACTTCACTTCAGGTTAAATATAAATGCAGTTTCATAATGATATAGAAATTGATTGCACATTAGCTGCGATCTCCTGGAAATGAGCCGCTCAGCCAACAGTGGGCAAAGAAGCTTCTTCTAGTTGCCCCAGTATCACCCAAAACAAGTCTTCAAACGCAGAGCGGCAGTTACTTTTAACATTCTCAACAAAGGTGGACGTACATCCCAAATGACAACCAAAGAAGGCAGCCTGAGCTAAATTCAACCTCGAGTGAAGATGGTTTGGATATTGGGTGTTTTGAGGTTGGTGTTCAAGACTGTGAACAGCATTTCTTGCAGGTTCTCACGGTGGTTCAAAGAGATCACCAAAGTCCCTTTGGTAGACGCTCATGCACAGATTATTGTTGATTGATGTGCATTCTTCAATTGAATTTTTCGTCACACCAGCAAAATCCAAGGAACTCCTATACAAGCTATCACCATTTACAAATAATTACGGAAAATATTCAGCAAGCACGAGGAAGCATGTTATGTGTCGGTTGCAGCAACACGTGAATCATCATCATGGAATAGCAGTGCCATGAGTTCACCTGTCAGCCATTTGTGCTGGCTGGGGAGCGAAGTTGTGAAAACTAATTTTGTATAGAAATGTTCCACATTAACTTAGGTTCAGCTCCTGCCTACAAGGGCTGCTTTATTGCAAAAATGCCTGGGTATTTAGATTTAGAAGCGCGGAAGGAAAGCCCACATCATTAAGGTTAATAAGGGGTCCCTTCTATTGTGGCATACTGGGTTTTTTGTTAGGAAAAAGCACAAAGTTTTTTTTTCACTGACATTGAAGCACCCCCATAGTAGGCCATGCATTTGCTCTAAACGTGGCGGAAAAAAGATTACAGATTTTTGTGGTTCTGCAGGATGTGCTGTATTTAGAAGTTAGGAAAGCATGCTTATAAAGCTATGAGACTCCCACATGCATCTGCTGTCCAGCTGTTAAAATTGGCTTTTGCGCTTTCTCACACCATCCGCAGGGTCCGTGGAAGTAGACTCCCACGAGAACGTTCCAGATGCTCAAGCCTTCAATGATGTGGGCACAAGCAGCAGCTGTGGTGACGGGGGTGAAGCAACAGGAGCAGAGGCTACAGTGGGAAATTTGCCTCCGGTGCCTGACGAAGCATCGTCGGACTCGTACTCGGGTGTCGAGTCGTCCCGCACCGTGTCAACCGCCTGTGACAGCGCCCCTGCTGCCAGTGACCACGGGAATCCAAATGGCACGTCGGATCAGCCAAGCCAGTCCGAAACTGAAGGTGGCTTTTCGGCAGCGTCTGCAGCGGAGGAACCCGTGGAGTCTGGGAACAACGGGGAAGAAGTCTACGAATTGCTGATTTGTGATTCCGGTAAGATTGATCTTGGGCGGCGTGTGGTTTCTCACTTATACAGTTCATTTCGTTGTCTTTTTTTTTCTTTGCGAGTCAAAAGGAAGATGAGGTAAGGTTCATGTGTCTGATAAAGGTCACTGGCTCTACATATATCAGTCAACGGTGAACATTGCTGAGAGCATATTGTTCTTATACATTCGGTTTAATCAGTAGTATAACCATAGCACCATAAAAACTCATTTATATAGTGTATATCCAATATGTGCATACATGATAATATACATGCTTGTACTGTCGAATCTCATTAGTTCGAACATACTTAATTCAAACTTCCGGTTAATTCTAACTCACGCTGAGGCCCCGTCAAAGCTATGTGTATTCTAATGGGCAAAAACGCCCTGTAATTTTAATGCGCAAGTACTTGCGACGATTGATTCGGACATACCGCGCTCTGAAAATGCTCTCAGCACCAGGCCCAATCACGCGACGGCACATCCCACATCTCAACACTGCGCACGAAGGAAAAGAAAAGGCTAGAAAAGGCTGCGGTGGGATGTTTGCTCTATCTCAAATGCCGATCTGCGACGCTCCTGTGCCACACTTCTTCCCGCTGTTCGCCACTTAGTGGAGATCAGTGGGGAGAAGCGTGGCACAGGCGCGTTCCCTTTCGTCCCTTTTCGTCAAAAAGGGAGTGCTGCTCTCTTTTCCGTCCCTGCCACGTTATGACCTGCTTTCAAGGCCACGTGCGAAGAGAGAGAGAGAGGAAAAAAAGAAAGCTATCGCAGAGTGTTGGCTCTCTCTCACACGCCAGTGTCACACTTCCCTCGTTCCCCTCCCTGCCACGTAGACCCTTATTCTTTCAACACGACGCGTGGGAAGAGAGGAAGAAAAAAAAAATAAAAAATCTGCCATGGAGTGTTGGTTTTCTCTTCTTTTGCCAGGAGAATGCAAAAGCTGAAGTAGAAATGCTTTGCAAGCTGCATGCGAAATTGATAAACGTCTGCAGACGTGCATCACCAATTACTTCAATTAATGACGGATGTCCTGTGATTTGTGAGTAAATGTAAGTCTCCTGAAACTTCTCCCTCATGTGTTAGCTCAATGCACATGCGCCATTGCATGGTGAGCCCTCCGCTCATTTAGCTTTCACTAATCCGAACTTCTTTTCATTTGAACAAATTTTCGGGCAATTTAGAGTTCGAACTATCAAGATTCGACTGTATAACATTCACAACTCATCTGCTTTAAAGCACCTAAATAAGGCTGAACAGTGATTTGGGGCCTCTTAACTCAAGCTAAGCCCACGTAATGACCACCCGTAGTTATACCACATAGAAAAGACCCCATATAAACATAACAAAAAACCAAATATAGTATCTCCATTCATTTACTTATATCTTAAGTAAGTGGAATAGTAAAGACAGTATAAATTGCATGACCTGTGTTGCTCTGCTGTGAGACAAGTTTCTACTACAGGACAGTGGTAAATTATGGTATTTTTGTAAAGAACAGCTCTCGGAATGGTGGTCGTCTCATCATTATCTGTTAGTCTACTTTGCTCATCTAGCTGCAGTCACTGAGCAAGCTTTTCTCTTTGTTTTGTTTCGACTTTGCAGAAGCGAGTGAGGGAATCACATCAGTCATGGTTGACTCAGTGTCCAGTACTGTGTTCGGAGCTCAGCGAGGAGCTGGCCCATCACCGTCCACATATCATTTAGTCTCTCTTCCATCATGCTCGTCGTCTGGCCCTACCACATCATGCTCTCCTCCCGCAATCGACGTGGCATCACTTACTCTGGCATACCACAGGACTGATGATGCGGCAAACCTCGATGCTTCGTCGTCGTCTTCATTATCAAGCAGCAGCGGGCCGCCCATTGTGGCCGACTCTTCCGCCGGCCTGCCATCACACGACGGCACCCCTGCCTCAAATAGTGTTCCCGGCAGCACTTCTAGCAGCAGTCAGCCCTTACAAGTTGACAATGGGAATGCCAGCAATAATGGCAGTGGAAGCAGTAGCAGCAGTGGCACCAGCTCGGACCCTGCGACACCGCAGAATGTTGACGACTCCGAGACGTACGAAAATGGTGCGGCCTCGGCGGCCTCGTCTGCTTGCGATGTGATTCTTGTCGAAGCCCATGCAGCGGGAACATCATCCGAGATTGTGGTCTATGCAGAAGAAGAAGCGGCAGCTGGTGTGAGTGTTTCCTTGGACAACTGTGACAATGATTGCAGCAGTAACGCTGCCCCTGAAGACGTTGGGGGCAATTTGCTGATTGTCAGCTCGTCGGCATCCGTACATGGCCACGGCGGGCTAGCAAATGGAATGCCGGACGAGCATGCGTCGACATCAAGGCTCGCTTTGCACCAAGACGAGGACTCTGCAGCAAGTTCAGCCGTTTCAGACATTGATGCCGTGGTTGGCAACGTGGTGACCGTTGAGACAGTGAGGGACATTGTGGAACAGGTGGTGACCTCGTCAGCCTCTGTTACCCCTGCGTCACTGTCCCAGCCTAGCACGTCAAGAGGTGCAGCAGGGCCACAGCAGGTGCTCAAAAGGAAACGTCGTGTGAATGCACTTATTGACGAAGCTTTGTGTGCCGTGGGACATGTGTCTGGTTGGGCGCGAGCAGCATCAGGACTTCTGGATAGGGTGTGCAAATTTAGAGGTGCCAACAGGTCAAAAGGTGTGCCACCACCAGCGCACTGGTTTTTGGAACCAGGTAAGCACCTTGTTGCTTGTAAGATGATGACATCTGTGGGCTTGTTCACAGTGCGTATCTAGGCTCAAATGTTGTCTTGTGATGTAGCGAGGTATTAACTTCTAAAAGACAAAATATGCTCATCTCGCAGCATTTTGTTGCGTCATAATGCGGTGTAGGTAGACGAATCTGTCTTGTTGTTAGCTTCAGTTCTTTGTCATACTGAAAACTAACGTTGACATAGACAAACTCTCCTACAAATTACTGCTGATGCTAAAATAAGAAGGGAAGCCAAAGGGTCTTACGTTTGCCAGTCATGGCCATATGAAGTTTGCAGATAAGAAATAAAGGATACTGGTGTTTTCACCAGCCAGGTCTGTGATACCATTCACCACAGAATCCTTGGTCCACGTGACAGCACATTGAGTTATCATACAGTGCAGTGGTGATCCTACTGGGTAATTTGTGTCGTTTGGCTACTGTTTTACTTGCCTGCATCTTTCTGTATTCCTTCAAATGCAATGTGCGGGAAATGCCCTAAAATTTTCTATTTTTGCGTGCTTGCCCGAGTAATAGTCGTTTTCGCGCTGATACCAAACGCTCTAACAGTTTTGCCAGGTTGTCAAGGAACTCCTGCCCTCTTTTAATTTCATATTTTTGCACTTTGTCTCGTTGATGTTTACAGTTTTAACCAGAATATCAGTGTGGCCACAGCTGCCTGCAGCCTCTCTTATTAACAGTTGAATAGACTTTTTTCAGATTGGGAGATCATCGCTCTTGAAGAGGAGCATACTAGCAACTACAAATTTGCTGTTCAAGCCACTTTGCTAGTTAGTTGTAATCTAACACACGACGGCCGTATGACTGCCATTTTAAGCATCTTGAGCCATAAACGGTGCCTTCGAGTGAGGTGTGTGAGATGGCATGAGCTGAGAAATTATTAATGCTTGGAGCATTCATAGCCTCTATAAGCAAAAAGTATATGGAAAACATGTGCAAGTTTTCCATCGGAGATATCGGTGCCTGTGCCTTAAAGAAATAAACAAATATATATTAGAGGATCTGAAATTTTTTTTTAACAAATAAAAAAAGTTAGACATGATTGTCTCATAGGATTTGAACTCACGACGTCTAGCACAGATGCCCAATACTGTAACCATACATCACAAATACATGCATCAGTGGCACGAATAGATATCTGCTAGCTAATGTATTTAGATGCTTTAAGCCACTGCAAGGTACTTAACCTTTCTCGAGAAGGCGAAGACGTCTGAAGCCAGGCGGTATTTACAGCTCTAAAAGGCAATTGATGAAGACCGTGAGGCGATCGTCAGTGAAACGTTACGAGAGGCTACACCACAAGAACGCGACAAGACTTAAGGGGCCTTGCAACACAATTCCAAGTAGCCATGGAATGGTTTCTTTTTTAAAAAGCCATGTAATGTATTCTGTAAAGGAGCTTATTGCCTACGATTTGGCTGCCGCAATAATTTACCGTATCTGTCTAGTACAAGTGGAGTTAGAAAGTTTGTCGCGCACTGCAATGGTTTTCTCTCTCTTCTCATTCCAATGAAAGCGCTGGAAGATAAGCAGGGAGGGATGGCAGGGGGAACAAGGTACAGTACGGTCGACTGTTAGGGGGAACACGCGAGCGTGCAACCGACGGTCCGCGGGGGGCTAAATGCTGGCGAGATTTGAAAACGCGAAGCATGCGCACAAAATCGCAAGGGCGGTTCGTGCTCTGCGTTGTCTGCTACTTCCTGCCCGAGCACTCGGCACGCGCTAATGCCCTGCTATGTTTTATTGGTTGGAAGAAGCTGGCTATGCTCGTTGCATGAAACATCAATTTTCTTGCCTGTTATCAAAGGCAGCCGGCTGGTTCGGGCGTTGTGCAAAGCTTACGACTGACATTTCTGTGAGCATTGGCACTGTAGGTTATGCAAGTGATGGGCTTCGTTCTCACTTTCACAGAATTCCTCAGCTGCGGGCATAATTCATCGCCAAACGAATTTTTTGTGGTGCCAGCTTTTATATGTGGCATGGCCAGGGCACCTGAGGATGAAAGTCTTCTCATAGTGAGCTCTACACTAAAAAACAGTCAGCCTGCTGTCGCTGCCGTGGTAAACAGACCACTGAAGACAGCGACGGTGCTAATGTGCCCCCTTGGTCCCAGTCGCCTTACTTCAACATAATCGGTGGTGTGCAATTTCAGAAGTAACATGCCGAGTCGTGCAGGTACTGCAGCTGTCCCTAGGGGTGCTGCCTCACACACGCACCACCCATGTCTGAATGATAAGCGACCTGTATGGCAAAACAAAAATGAAGAGAAAAAAAAACTGCAGATATCTGAGGCCATGTACGTTTGGGAAGCACTTTGGCCCCTTGCCATTCCTCCTGTGCAGTTACGTTGTCAGCTTGGTTGGATAATGAAGGTACAGAAGCCCTCGTTTCACAAGATATTGCTGCTTGTTCTTTGAGCAGAAAATATTTTGCGGCGTAAGATTCAGGTGGCAACAGCATCCAACATTAAGGTCATCCCATGATAGCTTCAGTGTTGACTACCTTGTATCAGAGCCCTTTTAATATAACAGTTTCTCAAGTTTGGGTTTCATTATTGGATGGCACTGTGACAGAATCATATTGCTTCAGTTTTTAATGACTGCATTTTTTTTCTCTCTCTGCCAGCCGCATTGTTTCATGTTGACACAGGTAACATTATGTTGCCAAGTGACATTTCTAGAGGTACCTTTGACTCCAGTTATTGTGCCTGAAGTGAATCACTGGAGAGGCTACTTTATTGAACTTTTGTTTCTTCCCTGAAAAATTTCTTTCTGCATTCCTTATTCTCACTGTCAGTTTGATATGCTGGTAATTTCTCCCAAATTTCTTGCAGCCTCTGCATTAGTGTCTGCTTGCGCTGTAGCACACCTGCTACTTGTAACACATTAGGTATCATTATAAGTAACACAAACATTTTAGGGGGTGAAGCACCTCGGGGCCTAGTCTTGTTCATTGTGTGTTGTCCGTTGTCCGGCACATCACATGCAAAATACCCACTATACGCCTACCGTAACTTTAATGAAGTAGGGAAGCACCTACTATGCTATGACACTCGTCATTCTGCTGATAAGTGAAGTACCAACTACACATCTCTAAGCCATTATGCGCACTTTGTGCTGTGGCTGATGACGATGGAGAATAAGCGCGTTCTGAGTCCGCCTCGGTTGATCAGTGGCTAGGGCGCTCGGCTGCTGGCCCAAAGGTAGCAGGTACGACTACGGCCGCGGCAGTCGCATTTCGATGGAGGTGAAGTGGTAGAGGCCCTTGTACTAGGTGCAATGTCAGTGCACATTAAAGAACACCAGGTGGTTGAAATTTCCGGAGCCCTCCACTACAGCGTCCCTCATGATCAAATCGTGCTTTTGGGACTTAAAATTCCGCTTATTATCAATAAGTGGGTTTCTGACTGCACATTCTCTTTCTGTCATGGATGAAAATTAATATGCTCTCGCTGCGAAAGGCAATGCCGATGCAGAAAACAAGCTAGCCTGGAGGGAAGAATTCGGGAAGCAGCGGCAAAGTGGCAGCGCCAACAACAAGTTGCTACTCCAGGGGTGAGAGCTCGGGAAGCAGTGATCAATCGCTCCATGACTCCCATTCATGAGCATCATACGTTCAATGGTGGTATGTAATCAAAGGTCAAGTGGTCAATGTTCCTGTAGACGTTAAGAAAACAGGGCATTGTCTTCTTAGAAACATGCCCGAAGATGCAGCCATCGACATGCTCATAAAGCAAAAGCTGAGAAGAAAGACCTTGTACAAATCTGGCCTAATCAATAAATGAAACATTCGCGTGTGGTTGAAGTACCTAGAAGTCTCGCCACTCTACAAACACCTAAATATTAGGAAAACTCGCAGAGATCTCGTGTTTTCCCAACTTCACGCTAGAACCAATCGAAGAGTTATTGGCTGTACATTTTATGGTCTGGATAGCAGTAATAATGAAGGCGAAACAAAATGCAGAACTCAATACAACATGCGAGTTATGACCAACAAAACATTGTATATACTGTAGATACGCATTGTCGCTCATTTACATGCGCAAGTGGGCGGGTGATGCCCCAGTTTTTTGCCCACCAGTCATTATTCACTCTGCGGAGGTGCGTACATTTTTTTTCATGAGCATTTGATTGTGGCGAAACCTGTGAAGGACCAAGTTTTTGTCTGGGATCATTTTACCTTTGGCAGCATGCCATTCACTCATTTTGTTTATTTCTGTAATCTCCAGCAACGTGAAAGGCTGGCTCTCTCTATGTTTCATTCTATAATAATATGATTTGCAGATGTATAATGGAATTTAATGTGACTGACTTAATTTTCTTGTCTATTCGCATAGTTGATCCTGAAGATGCTCCTGGTTACTATGACGTCATTGATCAGCCCATGGATTTCTCCACCATAAAGAAGAAACTGGAGGCAAGTGTTTGTTGTAGGTCTTGCACTATAGCAACCACAGGATTACATATTTTAAAGTGTAGATGCTACAGATCTCTTATGGAATGTCATCTGTACTTAACGTGAACCTTGTTGTTTTTTTTTATTTTCATGATTCTTGTTGGGTGCAGCTTTTGCACGCAAAAAGGCCTATAATAACTGTTCGCTGCAATCCTTTAGCAGTGTTTCATGCATGTTGTTCAGCGTTCTCGGCACAAGAACACTAAGCCACTCAGTGAATAGAGCATACCTAACCACCATTTTACCCGAGTCCGACTCGGCGTTTTTACTAGTACACTCTGATCTCGATATAACGAATGTGGATATAGGGAAATATTAGTTATAACGAAGGGAATGAAGAATGGTCTTGCAATAGATACTGTCTAAGGAACATACATTTAGAACAAATTTTCGAATAAAACGAACCTATATTCGTGTCAGATGCAGCTTTGTTATGACGTCTGAGTGTATAAAAAGTGTTATTGTGGAATACCTACTCACCATATCACATGATCTTTCTAATCTATGTTGCCAGTGGCACTCAGGTAACGCTGCAATTTGAAAGGGACCCTAAAAAAGAAGAGCTCTGCCATTTTAAAAGCGTTGTTGCTCTGAGAAATTTGGCATGATAGGAAACATGCAGGAAGAAAATGCAGGTGGGGATGCTGCTTTCAAGTTCCCACACCAATTTACCGTGACATGACAGTCGTTGCTATGCTCTTGGTAGACCTTTATTGATAAAAATGAATTACATCGTGTTCTAAAAAAAGCCAGGTACTTAAGAATTAAAAGTTTACGGAGGTCTTGTTCATTCGATGAGGCCAATGTACGAAAAGGGGCATTGAAATTCGTGGCATCACACTGGCACTCAGTGCCGGTGTTTTGGTGAAATTTTCAAAAATGGCCCTTTGACTTTTTGTAGTCTAACAAGGAATGTATGGTAATGGAAATTATGACATCGTAGATTTCATATAGTAATTATTTGGTGTACAGGGATTTAGTTTTTCGGTTTAGTGGTCCTTTAACACCTTTATTCAAGTGGTATATATTGAGAACTTTTGTTCAGGAAGTGTTTGTTGTTTAAATTTTTATATTCAATATTTCTTTTTTCTAAAAAACTGTTTCGTTGGGCTCCGTGGTGGGTGGCCGCCAACGCTGCTGAACAACATACATTTAGCATGCATAAAGCATTCCCTTTACTTACTGATTGTGCCTCCTCAAAGCGTGTACGCACCGAAGATATCAATTTTTTCATCCGGCCAAGATAAATCTTTCCTCATTTTCCACGTTATACACTGCGAGGAAACTAACAAGCAAGCCAGAACTGTATCCCCCTTTGTAGTGGCTAGGTGCTTAACCGAAACTCTCGGTGCCGGGTACAAGGTTACCAAAATGGCTAGCGGAGATCTACTCCTTGAGATGCGTGACAAAGACCAATTCGATAAACTGAACACCCTCACAACGTTTGGAGACACACTGTTACAAGCTGCCACTTTAGTGTCACCAGCGCGAAGTCGGCGACGGGAATGACAGCAGGTTAGTTCGTTCCATACGCAAGCAGAGACAGTGAAGAGATCAGAGACGTGAGAAAACAAAACAAACTTTACTTAGTGATATTGCAGCACACGGGATCTAGTACAACACTTCAATACAACTAACAAAATACATCAACACTTTATACAAAAAAAATATAAACAAAACAATAAATCAGCTTACGAGAAAGAACTATTACAAACTACACAAACTAACAATAGAACTACGGAGGAGAAAGTTCGAAGATATAAACAGGTGAAGGCATACGTGTGATGACCGGCAGCGTTGCGTCCCCGACGATCGGATGCGAGAAGACGAAGAGAGTTCTGACACGACTGCGATGTCGGCGGTGTTGCAACGCTGGTGGCTCCGGGAGGCTAGTGCTTGCAGGTGACTTCGGGCAGGTTGAGCTAAGTTGAGGCGAAGTCCCGATGTCTACGTTGCAGATCTTAATATCGCGTCACAACTAGACGAACGGCTAAGTTTAGGTGGCCAGCCGATACAGAGCCACACTAAAAACTTCTAGAAGAGATGCTTGTTGATCTGTTTCTACACCATGTTGGTCAGCGACTAGTCTGCCTAGCAGGGCAAAACCCTGTGCTTAAATCCCCCTCGTGTCTCCTCGCTCTCTTCCTTGGGGACAAGAGACCTCTACATGGGTCCAATCATGCGCGTTTCCTTGATGGAAACTCCGCCCCAAAAAATATATTGACCCCACCCCTTTTTAATTAGGAGAGGGCCCTCAACTAGCGAGAGTGACAGCCTGTTGGGATGTTGTCATACGGCTTGGCCACCAGAGGTTTTCCCACGGTTTCCCCCCGTGGGAAACGGTCAGACTGTTTGGCTCTCAGCCGGTGCGTCCCGTAGTCTAATCCTTGTTCGGGGTACATCGCGGCCTTCCACGATCTTGCAGATGCCGCCGCAGTTACAAAAGGATCAAACGTCAGCGGCGACGTTCCAAGAAGAGCACCCCATTCTGCACTTCTCGGCTCTCTTTTATGCGCCCGCCGTTCCCACGGTCAGTGGGGGAGTACGGCGCCCGTTAATTGCCGTGACGTGGGGCCGCCAAAAATGGCCGTCCGTGACACACACCCATCAGTATTACGCCACACAGGTCCATGAACTCAACTCGCAGGGTAGTATCGGACACAGATTTGCTTCACCTGACCGAAGCTGAACTTCTGGAAGGATGGAAGAGCCAAAACGTGACAAGCGTACAGCGTATTAAGATAAGAAGAGATCAAAAGGAAATACCAACCAAACACTTAGTACTGACCTTTGCTTCGAGTGATTTGCCGGAAACCATTCAGACTGGGTATACAAAGACATCCGTGAGGCCATATATTCCCAACCCCCGCCGTTGCTTCCAATGTCAGAGATATGGCCACGGCTCGCAAAGCTGTCGTGACCGGAAAACTTGTGCTCTGTGTGGAGTCGTGGGCCATGCGTCCGACAACTGCGAAGCACCTGCACACTGTGTGAACTGTGGCGGTAATTATGCCGCGTACTCACGCTCCTGTTTTTTCTGGAAAAAAGAAAAAGAGATCATCAGTTTAAAGATAAAAGAAAACATTACATTTAAAGAAGCAAGAAGGAGAGTCTCGCCATTTTGTGGCCCCACATATGCTGATGCGGCGCGCCAGGGGGAAGCGTCGCACCAGCCCTCGCCACTCCTTCGGCCTGCACAGAGTGAGCCATTGGCTGTGGCGCCTGCCCCCAAGGCGGCAGTAGTTGAGTCTACTCCGCCTACCACTGAACAGAGACCACAGACTCCAGGCTCCTCGGGTCTCAAGGCCTCACCTCGCCAGGCGAGGCCCAAGCTTCGAAAAACCAGCTCGCATTAGCGGGCATCCAGTGCCTCCGAGGAGGCAATGGATACGGCGGCACCCCTGGTGCCAAAAGAGCGGCGCGGCTCTCTGGAGCGCGCCGAGAGAACTAAAAAGCTCATAACAGGACCTGATAATAGCCCTGTTACTTGAGCTCGACCTTTCAGCTTAAACAAGTCACTCCCTTAACGTACACACAGCACTACTTTACTTCCAATACGGAAACACAAATTATACATTGGAACGTCAGAGGACTGCTTAAAAACCTCGACGACGTCCAAGAGCTTTTATACAAACACTCACCTCAAGTGCTGTGTGTACAGGAAACACACCTAAAATCCTCCAATAAAAATTTTTTACGTGCTTACATCATATACCGAAAGGACTGAGATGATGCTGTGGCGTCATCCGGTGGCGTAGCCATTATCATTAACCAAGGAGTTGCGTGTACACATTTACCGTTCCAGACATCCCTTGAGGCGGTGGCTGTTCGAGTGGTACTTTTAAACAAACTCGTCACCATCTGCTCTTTGTACGTACCTCCCCACCACCGTCTTGAAAGACGGGAATTTCAGTCTTTAATAGACGAACTGCCAGAACCTTATTTGCTTCTTGGGGACCTAAATGCACATAGTGGACTGTGGGGCGATTCTCGCTGTGATGCACGAGGTCGTCTCATTGAACAATTTCTCTTCTCTTCCGGTGCCTGTTTGTTGAATAGGAAAGAGCCAACATACTATAACGTTGCCAACAAAACTTACTCATCTATAGACCTCAGCGTCGTATCACCTTCACTCCTACCCCTACTGAAATGGAAAATCATAAATAATCCATATGGAAGTGACCATTTTCCTATAGTGTTGAGTTCACAAACAACATATGAATGTCCTCTACATGTTCCCAAATGGCTGATAAACAAAGCAGACTGGGAACAGTTCCATAACACTACACATTTAAGTTGGACAGACATATGTAGGTTAAACATAGATGAAGCTGTGCAGTACTTCACAGCTTTTCTAACTGATGCAGCAGCCAAGTGCATACCGCAAACATCTGGAATGCCCGGCAAACAAACGACACGTCCCATGGTGGAACACAGAGTGTTGTAATGCGCGAAAGGAACAGAACAGGGCATGGAGGTTGCTTCGGACCGAAAATCTTGACACCTTCAAGAAAATAAAGTCTCAAGGCAGGAGAACGCGTCAGCAGGCCAGAAGAGAAAGCTGGCAGAAGTTTTTGTCAGGGATCAATTCATACACACAGGAGGCTAAAGTCTGGAACATGGTCGGTAGGATAGCAGTGAAACAAGTACACACACTTCCACTCGTAAACACTCTAGGGTGATACCTTGGAAGATCAGGCAAACTTCCTCGGTGCACACTTTGAACGGGTATCCAGCTCGTCCCACTATACTGACACTTTCCAAAAATACAGAACAAGAATAGAAAAGCAGAAGCTCGAACACAAATGCACTAGATACGAGGCATATAACCAAGCTTTCAGTCTAGCTGAGCTCCGAACATCTCTAAACTCCTGCAGTACTTCTGCCCCAGGTTCTGACCGTGTGGTGTATGAAATGTTAAAGAAACCTACCAGCCGAAACACGAAAAACCTTACTTTGTT